TCCAACCTCCCTTCTTTACTTCATTCTTCTCTTTTGGAGAGGGTCGAACGCCCGACCCTCTCGTTTTCCTTTTGTAAAGGCATGGAGTGGACAAAACTCGATCCAGCCCCTTTTTGTTTTGTTTTTTTTTTTTTTTGGGAGAAGGTTGGACCGATTCTAGCCTACTCTTTATTCATGCATTCATTTAGGCGAGGGGCGACGAGGTCGGATTGAACTCGGTCCAACCCTTCCTTTTGTTTATTTTTTTGAACCGGGCTTAAGCCCATAAGCACGCCCAACCAAAAAAAAAAATTCAAATTTCAATCAAACACGAGCTCCCTAACCTATCTCTCTCCCGATCTTCCCAATCTTCTTATACTCTCTCTATTTTTCTAGTTTTTTTTTTTTTTTTTAAGAAATTGAAAGCTTCCTTCAAAACAAAACGTATCATATTTCATGTTCTCACCTTCCTAACATATCGAATTCATAATTTGAACAAATAATTACCAACCAATTGAAACAAAATCAAAACTAAGAAAGGAAAAAAAAACACAAAGATGCTGACGTGAACTTACCGATGAAGAGGATTATATAGTGGACCGGAGAAGGGAAGTCCGAGGTGATTTCTAGAGATCCCAAGGATTATTCGATGAACTCTGGATACTCAAACAAATTGGAGAATGAAGAATTAGAGTTAAACGAGTGTGAAGAACACCAAAACCCGAAACCTAGAAATAACAAGAACATTCAAGTGTCTGTCTAGAAAAATTGGTAAAAAAAAAAAACATTAATTGAAGCTTCAAACCCGAAATTAAAGTTAAAGAACTTATGGTAATTGCACCCAAGCCTAGAAGATCAAGCAATGGGCCTAAAAAAGGATGAACTTGAAATCCGAAATGGAGAACATGAAGAACACTTGGTCACAATCTAGAAAAATGAGAAAAATAAAGCAGCTATTTCCTATAAAATCTTTTGATTTTTTCCTCTCAAACCAGAATTCCTCCTCTTTTTTCTCCCTCTCCTTTACGTGAATTGAGACCATTTTTATAGGCACGAATTTGATTGATTTTCTCCTAGAATCAACCCTCAATCCCGAATTTTTTGTCAAAACCTTAGATTTGATTCAATTAGTTAATCAACAAGGAAAGAAATCGATCATTGTTTGATTCTTTGTTGGTATTGATTTCGGCCAAGAATCCATGATTAATGCAAAATCAAAATAGAAAATTTAGTGGAAGATTTGGATAGATTTTCCAAAAGATTTTCAAAGAGGATTTCCATTAGGGTGGAATCAAACAACGACCGATTTCTTTCCTTATTGATTTCGGCCAAGAATTCATGATTAATGCCAAAAAATTTGGTTTTCCTCTCCAATTTAGTCCTATTGCCTGCTCCAAAATTTCAATTTAGTCCTTGTGTATTTCGATTGTCAACAATCATGCCCTACTCGTAGTATAATTTCTTGTAAAGCGCAATCTTATTAATTGGGTCCTCGTAGGATGCAATTTAGGTTCTGAATTTTCTAATTAATTTGATTATACGTCTAATTATCTCAATTATACCTTCTTTTACATGCAATTGTGCCCCTTGATGAATGTTTTTGTATTTTCTACCTATTCCCCCTTTCTTGCATTTTCATTACTTTTCTTTTTTTGTATCTTTTTTCATTTTTTATTTTTTTGGTTTTTTATTTTTATTTTATTTTTAGTAAAGTCCAATATGAAATAAAACTAAATAAAATAAGGCATAAATAATAAGTAAAAATAAAATAAACATAAATAAAAATAAATAAAACAAAAATGAGCAAATTTCAGTTTATTACAACTTTTAGTTGCTTCAGTTTAGTCCTTCGTTCCATTAATTGTACTCCTTTTCAAGTCTTTTCTTATTCTCCTGTTCATCATTTTCAAAAAAAAAAAATTAAAAAAAATACTAGCTAGTCTTATATTTAATTATATTTGTTGTTGGAAGCGATAAAAAGCTGATATCATTGGTACTGGCATCCAAGTGATCGAAAACCTTCCACTCAGGATCATTGGTTTCTCTCTTAGCTATCAAGTGAGTATTTGTACAAATTCTTCTTTTATTTTATTATTATTGCCTTTATATTATGCATATTGTTTTAATTTTTATGTCATGGAATTGCAAATTATGAAAATTGCAAATTCCACCTTATCGTGCCTTAATAAATTTATACTATTTATAAGACTTGAAACTCTAAATATATTAGTAATATTCTTACCCAAATATATAAAGAAAAACTATATAGCTTCTTTTAGTATAGACCAGAAAATAATATATAAAAGCATGCAGGATATCTGTTTTTTCTTTAGAGTTTCCAAGGTCTCTTATCAAAATAACAAACACTTATATGTATAGTGGTAAAACTTGTCCGTCGGACAACTAAATTAATTGACTGAATAAATTCTTGAAACGGCAAAGGTAAAAGAAAAACGTTCGAAAATAAATATGGATATAAGATGACCGTTTGTCATTGAATAAAAAATAAAACTATTGAAAACCATTGAATGGTACCTATTGAAACTGTTATGAAACAGTTTCAATAACACCTTTGTACTTGTTTTCCAAAATGTACCATGCATTTAATATATTATTAATTAATAAGTTTATTAATAATAAATCTTTTAATATTTTATTAAAAAATATTCCAACACTAAATAAACATTTTGTTTGTCTATTCTAGACATTCATTATCTTTTCGGGAGGTATCTGGTTATTTAATAGTCTTTCGATCAAAAATCAACTCACATTTTCACAATCAACTTACATATTTTTAATAGAAGGTGGGAAGTACAAAATCATAAGAAAGATAGAAGGTGAAAAGATAATGTAAAAATGTAATGACACCTAGAATAGAGGATGATAGGGGCAATTAACTCTTATTTCAAATCTCACAAAACTTTTAACAAGTTTACTTATATACTGTAAAATTATTCAAAACTCCGTTTATTTATGAGTGTTTATTGTTGTTAATAAAGTATTCAATAATATCTTGTATTGCATCAAGCCTATATATTTCTCTGTCATAATTCCTGCCTCTTTATTAGATTCTAGAGATGTCATATTTTTTTACAAGTATTTTCCAAACACATAAGATCCTTATATTTACCACATCCACAAAAAAATGCTTTAATTTTTTTTCCACCAATCATGGTAGAAAATTCCATAGAGAAGTATCATTTTCTCTATCTTTACATAAGGCTTTGGTTTTCCTTCTCCTCTGATCATCACAAATCCAAATTTTGGTGCTTAATATTTCATTCATATGATCAAATATAATTATTCCAAAACATTCATGAATATAATAATACAAGTTTCAATTTATAAATACGATAATTGTGGGGTTATGAATGTTCTCACAAAATAATGTATACTTTATAACTAAACATTAGAAAATGACTTATTGAATAGTGAAAGCATACACTACATTTCATTTCAAATCAAATGTGTGAAAATGATTAAAACATATTTATGATCCCTTCCAAATATACTAGAGTTTCTTTCTTTAAACATCCAAAAGTGAATACCTTTGCAAATGAATCATTGCAACTTTACTCAAGATTACTATATCAAAATCTTGAAATTAAACACTAAAACTTTCAAATAATCCACCTGATTTGCAATAGAACTTGTTTTTTTTTTTTTCTTTTTAATTTCAAATACATTAAAACTTGATAAACAATCATATAACCATCTCGAAGTTATATATAAGCAGGACCTTTACTTTCAAAAACAAGCTCATGTTTCTAATATCCATTTTCATGTAAAACATAACATGTCATAAAAGAAAAGAAAAAAAATACATGCCAAAACTTCATAATATAATAGAATAAAAAACTTAATATCAAACATTAACATCACACTTTTGACATTATTAAAGTATTTGATTCAAAATTTCAATCACAAGATTAATACACCAATAAATAAGGTCGATGTCTTATTTTCAACACCAACAACATTTTCATTAATTATAAATCATAAATATAAGGTTCTTTTAATTAAAATTAATTTTCATTCTATAATTCTTATCAAAACCTTCACAAAACATTATTTTCACCACTATAACAATCATTCTCTATCTTGTTTAGGATGTTAATTTTTATAGTGACAATTTTTTTTAAAAAAATTTCTTTGTATTGAACCATTATTGCTTTAAATTCCTTATGTCTACATAACATGATTAGTGAATCATTCAAAAAGATAATTGCAAACGTTATACAAAATTTTTACTTTGAAATTTCAAAAACATCCCAAAAAACTCACTTGAAAATGTGTTGAATTAAACTTCTATGCATTTCATCCTTTTATTCTTATTGTATTTATCATCTTTTTCTTTATTTTTTAAAACATTTTTCGATTTGAAGTAATCATCAGTACCGTGCTATTTCATACTATAGTTATATAGTCTCTCCTTTAAAATAATCTTTTTAATTTAAAGTTCTTTTCTTAATGGCTGAGCTCTCTTTTTTCGCTGATCTTTCAATAAAATTTCAATTATCAAAAAAAAAAAAAAATCTCAAAGAACTGTATGTGAGAACGAAGCGAAACAAAAGTTATTTTTTCTAGAGACCTGACAAACACCTCTTGAGTTATATGTCATTTTGATTGATACCCCTTAATCTAATTCTTTTTTTTTTTTTTTCTACCGGTGAATACCAGGGCGTTTTGATTGACAAGACAATGATATTAGGATTCTATGTCATATTAACAAAATTACAAGAATTTAAGATTAATTGTTTTTCCAATAAATAAAAATTAATATAAGATATATATTAATTGATTATTGGTATACTTGTACCTTGTCTTATTGCTTGTGAAGATGGATTCCATACCGAGCTAAAGGCCTTATTGGTCAACCAGTACCGGTTCCTTTTACTTGTCTCAAGTATTTTCACAAATTAAGGTACTAGAAATTCCTATATATTCTCATTCTCTCAATGCCTATTTAAATTGTAATGACTCACTCTTAAGTTGGTATCCTTATTTCAGACTAGTGGAAAATGGCTGGCGAAATTGTTGGGGAATCCATTATGTCTAAGATAGCAGAGCTCTTGGTGGAACCAACAATAAGGCAATTCAGTTATATGTTCTGTTTCAACAATTTTGTCCCAGAATTCAAAGGACCAAAGGAGAACCTGACTTTGGCACTAGATCGTCTGCAAAAGGCTGCCAGACGTGCTGAAAGGAATGATGAAGAAATTGAGAAAGATGTCAACAAGTGGCTGGAAGATGCAAAAAAGGAAATTGAAGATGCCAACCATTTGGATGAACAAATAGAAAAAAATGGCAAATGCTTTACATGGTGTCCAAATTGGATGCCACGATGCAAGCTAAGCAAGGCATCGGCAAAGAAGATAAAGACATTGAGGGAACTCGAAGAAAAAAGCAGAAAGTTTCAAACATTGTCTCACAAAGCTCCTCTTCAAGATAAAGAATTTCTTCCAGACGAGAATTTTACACCTTCAGAGTCGTCAAAAGAAGCTTTCGAACAGATAATGGAAGCGCTCAGAGATGACAAAGTCAATATGATCGGACTGTACGGAATGGGAGGGGTGGGTAAAACCACCATGGTGAAAGAAGTAATGAGGAGAGCCAAAGAGTTAAAGCTGTTTGATGAAGTTTTGATGGTTGTAGTGTCCCAGAATCCTGATGTCATAAAAATTCAGAATGAAATGGCAGATAGTCTAGGTCTGAAATTTGAGGAAAGTAGTGTAAAAGGGAAAACAAATCGACTAAGGCAAAGATTAGTGAAAGAGAAGACTGTGCTTATCATCCTAGATGATGTTTGGAATGTTATTCACTTGGAAGAGATAGGGATCCCATTTGGAAATGATCACAGGGGTTGTAAAATTCTTCTAACAACACGTCTTAAAAACATATGTTTTTCTATGAGAAGCCAGAGAAAAGTGTTTTTAGGAGTCTTATCTGAAAATGAAGCATGGGCTTTATTCAAAAGGAAAGCAGATTTACGTGATGAGGACTCTGCAATGAACAAAGTGGCAAAGGAGGTTGCGGGAGAATGCAAAGGCTTGCCTATAGCACTCGTAACAGTGGGAAGCGCTCTCAGAGATAAATCTAAAGATGAGTGGGAAGCAGCATCTAAAAAGCTCAAAAACTCTCGAATTCTACCCATTGAACAAATTGACGAACAAAAAAATGCATATACAACTCTCAAGTTGAGTTATGATTATTTAAAGCACGAGAAAGCCAAGTTATGTTTCTTGCTTTGTTGTTTATTTCCAGAAGATAGCGACATTCCAATTGAGGACTTGACGAGATATGCCTTTGGCTATGGGTTACATCGAGATGAGGAGTCCATTGAAGATGCAAGGAAACAAGTGTATTTGGCTGTCAAACACCTCAAAGATTGTTGTTTACTGTTGGGCACTGAAAATGAAGAATGTGTGAAAATGCATGACTTGGTTCGTGATGTTGCTATTCAAATAGCATCATCATCAAAAGAATTTGGTTTCGTAGTAAAGGCTGGCATTGGGTTAAAGAGGTGGCCAGGAAGTCCTGAAAGCTTTGAAGGTTGTACAGCTATTTCGTTAATGGGCAATAGACTGACAGAACTTCGTGAAGGATTGGTATGTCTACAGCTCAAAGTTTTGTTATTAGAATTGGATTATAGCGTGGCAGTTCCACCTAAATTTTTTGAAGGGATGAAAGCAATTGAAGTTTTGTCTCTAAAGGGAGGGTGTTTGTCCTTGGAATCACTTGAATGCTCAAGGAACCTTCAATCTCTGCAATTTATTTACTGGAATGCAAGAACCTCATTTCGTTGAGAAAGCTGCAAAGACTTAAGATTCTTTGTTTTCGGGAGTACTCCTTGATTGAACCATTACCTGAAGAAATAGGAGAGCTCGAGAACTTAAGGTTGTTGGATTTGACAGGTTGTAAGATTCCTGTGAATTTGATTGGAAGGTTGAAGCACTTAGAAGAACTGTTGATTGGGTCTGATAGCTTTGGTGAATGGGGTGTTGGTGGGAGAAGCAGAGGAGGAATGAATGCAAGCCTAACAGAACTAAATTCATTGTCTCATCTTTCTGTATTATCGTTGAGGATACCAGAGATCAACATTCCCAGAGATTTTGTTTTCCCCAAGTTGCTTAAATATGAAATAGTATTAGGAATCAAGAGGTTTCCGGGGTTTTCAAGGGCTAGAAGACCGTTTCCAATGTCCCAAGCAAGTTATCCAACCTCGAGAAGATTGACTTTCTCATGTATCAACACCACATTCTTAAATGCAAAGACATTTGACGAGCTATTCCGTACAGTATCTCAACTTGATTTGTATCATGTGTCCGGTTTGAAAAATTTAACGTGGTCCTCTAATCACATGATCATGCATGAGCAGCAACAGGGATTGTATCTCAACAGGGACCATGCTTTGGAAAATCTACAGAGCGTGAGAATTCGTAGTTGCGTTCAATTGGAAGAGGTATTTGAATTGGGTGAGGAGAAGACGTTGCTGCTGTCATCTTTAACGAAGTTAGAATTGGAATGCTTACCTAATCTCAAGAACATATGGAAGCGGCCTAACCGACATGTTAGCCTCCAGAGTCTTACTTATCTGAAATTGAGGAATCTCCCCAAACTGGCATATGTCTTTCCTGTGTCTGTGGCTCCAAGTCTTCTGAAGCTGGAAGAGATAGATATTGCAGATGCCAATGAATTAAAGCAAATATTTGGCAGTGGAGAAGGAGAAGATGTACTCACAATAGATGGAAATGGAGATAGAGATAGAGATGGCATCATCGAGTTTCCTCAACTAAGAAAGTTGGAGCTTCATAGGTCCGGATCAAATCTCAAGTTTTTTGGTTCGAACAATTTTGCTGTCAAATTGCCTTCTTTGCAACATCTACAAATTGAGGGCCACAACCAATTGGGTAATTTATTGGCAAAGCTGTTGGTGAGTTCTTTAATCTGTCTCCACTATTTTTCCTTTTTCTTTTATAACTACAATTTAAATCTTTATAATCAAAACAACATCAGTACATTATGGTGATTTTCTTCTTTCTTCCTCTAAATTTTCTAAAATTGAAATAATGGATGAGAGGGGATAAATGCAAATGGATCATTTAGAATGTTTATTGTTTGTTAAGCCAGCGGTACTCCTGTTTGAGTTTATTGTATGCCCATTTCCTCAATCTCTTAGAATGTTTGTTCTTTTGTTTGTTTCAGACTTTCAGTTCCAGTTATGTTTCATTTAAGCATATATACAAGATGATGGTTTTCTGTAGCATAATGGGAAATCATCATTTCCTCTTATGTCTTTAGAAAACAATACACGCAATGGACCTCACAGTTACATGCCCTACCTATTCATGTCTTTCTGTTTACCAAAATTTTAGTTTCAAAATATGCAAAAATTACTAAGAATTATGTCCAACAAAATTGTAACCTTGTTTTCTTTTGATACATGGCTTAACAAATTTGAGAAAGTTAATTATTGAAGATTGTGAAGGAGTAGAAGAGGTAATGCAGGTTCGAAGTTTTGTAATTAATAGAGGAGGTAGGCATGAACTTTCACTCTTGAGTTTGGAAACATTAACGCTAACTCTCTGCCTGACTTGAGGAGTATATGAAAGGGTCTCATGCTGAAAAATTTGACTACTTTGGAGGTGATTAAGTGTAAGGGATTGAGACATATACTCCCATCCAGCATGATTGCCAGTTTACTTCAATTGAAAGTTTTAAAGATATCAAGGTGTGAGGAATTGAAGGAAATCATTGCTATGGATAATGAAGGTGGAATGGGTCAAAACTCATTGGGAAACGAGCATCTGAAACGTTTATGCTTCCCTAATCCACTCGAGCTATCATTACAAGGATTACCAAGCCTTGTCTACTTCTGTACTGCAACTTACGATTTCATATTTCCAAGCTTGGAAATGTTAAAGGTGGAAAAGTGTCCCAAGATGAACCCAATGCTCACTGTTGCAGTAAATGATTCCACGAGTGCTAAGCCAGAGGTACTCTTGTTTGAGTTTATTGTCTGCCCATCCCCCAATCTCTTAGAATGTTTGTTTATTCTTCTGCTTGCTTCAGACTTCAGTTCCAGTTATGTTTCATGTTTCTTTTAAGCCAGTAAATGATACAAGAGGATGGTTTCCTGTAGCATAATGGGAAATCATCATTTCCCATGATGTCTTTTAACAAAAATACGAGCAATGGATCTCACTGTTACATGCCTTGTTTATTCATCTCTTTCTGTTTACCAAAATTTTAGTTTAATAATGTGCAAAAATACTAAGAATTATATCCAACAAAATTATACTCTTTTTTTCTTTTGATACAGAGCTTAACAAATTTGAGAAAGTTAATTATTTAAGATTGTGAAGGAGTACAAGAGGTAATGCAGGTTGAAAGTTTTGTAACAAGTAGAAAAGGTGGGCGCGAACTTTCACTCCCGAGTTTGGAAACATTAAAGTTGAGCTCTCTGCCTTACTTGAGGAGTATATGCAAGGGTCTCATGCTGAAAAATTTGACCACTTTGGAGGTGATTAATTGTGAGGGACTGAGATATTTACTCTCATCCAGCATGATTGCCAGTCTGCGTCAACTGAGAGCTCTAAAGATATCAGGGTGTGAGGAATTGGAGGAAATCATTGCAAAGGATAAGATTTGGCCAGAAAGTCATCTCCAATCTTTATGCTTCCCCAGATTGTGTGAAATTGAGATCAGCCGATGCAACAAGTTGAAGAGTCTCTTTCCAGTCATCACTGCCGCAAGACTTTCAGAACTACAATGTCTCAAAGTAAGAGAAGCTCGTCAATTAACTGAAGTATTTGGACAGTATGATAACTCTTCACCTGTCAATGTTGAGAAAGAGATTGTGGTTCCTAATCTGCTGCAGTTGTCGCTAAAAAATTTACCAAGCATCGTCTGTTTCGGCCTTGGATGTAAAAAATTCTTATTCCCACGTCTGGAAAAGTGTGTGGTTGGAAGTTGTCCTAAGATGGCAACAAAATTCATTGTTTGACCAAATGACTCAATGTGTGCTCAATCAGAGGTGCCGCTCTTTGATTTTATTTTTGGCCTATCTCTCCTATCTTCAGTCCCAATTTTTGTTTATTGGTTTGCTAACTAACAAGATTTACCAAATTGTAATATGTAAGTCATGCTTCAATTGGTTTGCAGGTATCTCAGGTTGCTGAGGATTCAAGCAGCACCTACAAAATGTGGACCAGAGATGGTGGGTGGAAAGAACAAGATTCTGATCTTGGGAGCTTCTGGTGGATGTGACACTGAATCGGATGATTACTCTTGCCATCAGAGTTAAAAAAAAAATGCTAATAGTTGATTACTGCCCAATAGGTATGGCTGCAAGTGTTTAACTCTTCTTCAGCTCTTAATAACAGAATATGCCAGCAGAATTTCTGATTTCTTCTTTCTTCTTTCTTCATGTTTGCATCAGTTGGTTCTGATCCTGCTCATAACTTTCAATTGGTGGAAATAATATCAATACTTCCATTTGCAATGGGAACTCCCAAAAAACAAAGAAGGGTTATGCACTTACCCATGTGTGTGTGAGCTTTCAGCAATAAGGGTATGATCTGTCTGTTTACCCAGTAGGTATGTACTGTTGTGTGTATAGTCGATATTGTGGGAACCTCCAGAAATAAGGGCATATGTTTGTTTGCCCATCTGTGTTTCTTTCAAGTGTCTCAACTCTGAAAAATTACAGTAACTTGAAGTACTTGTATGTATTATTATTGCATTCTTTTACAATGAATATTATCTAAGTGGGTAATGGTTTTAAAAGAGAGATAGAGGACGGGAATAGAGACAGAATGAAAGATAAATAGAAGGAAAGAGAGTTGATGCGGGCCGTGGGGAATGATAGTTTTGTGGAAAAGAGAGAGATAACTAATAGAGAGAAGGAGAGTGTAGATATTTATACTCGAAAACAGAGGAAAACCAATTTTTTTTCAAAACTTTTACATATACCTACGAAATATTCTATCAATAATTCCTTTAGAAATTTTTTTTTCAATGTTTTAACGATTTTTGGATATATATATATATATAATACTTTAAATATTAAAAAAAAAGGTTAATTAGAAGAATTCTATTATAATTAGGAACAGTTTCTTTTCCATTACTAATTCCATCGTTCATTAACAAGTATGATATGTCATTTCCATTAGTAACTAGTAAATAACTAGTTTTATATCCGCATTACATTGTGGGTAGAGTAGAATGGGTTAAATTATTTCAAAAAATCATTCTAGTTTGATTGTCCATGTTACGCTTTGAGTCTACAAAAATATATAAAATTAAAGGTAAAAAAATTTATTTTATAATTTTTAATCAAACATATTTTACTATTTATTTCTTCTCTTTTTTCACAATTTTTATGCTAAAAAAACATGATTTTTTTTATCCATGGATTATTAACTAAAAATTTATAATAATCTAAAAGAAAATTTTAATACAAAATTAAAAAAAAAACTTAATATATTTTTTCATAAAATTATGTTGAAAAAGTAAAGTAACAATTAATGTAAAAACTTGCATAAAGATAAACAAATAAAAAATATTTTTTATTCTTATTTATTGATGATAAGATTAATTTTCCAAAGTATCTACATTTGATTTTTATATATTTATTAACAAAATAATTTTAAAAAATAGAATAAAAGACTATGTTTCAATCATTGGTTGGTTTTGCAAAAAAAAAAATGATAAGCGGCAAATGGCCTGTGTTGTTTGTAGTTGCATGGTTGCATAGTTAATTTCTAATAAATTATTTTAGATCAAAATAAACCAATTTACGTCTTTTATTTTTCCCAAATACTCTTATTAAATTCGGATTAAATATATATTTACATTATTATAAAATAATCAATTTAGTCTAATATATTATATTAAATTCCTATTATTTTTGTTTAAAATCCCAATTAATCATAAAATAATCAATTTAATTGAAGAATAATCATTTTACCCTTCCTTAATTAAACATCAATTAAATTAACTTATATCTTAAAATTTTGAATACAACAATTTAATTGAAAATCCTTTAAATTAGAAAATTGATTAATTAGCTCAATTAAACCATTAATTCAGCCCATTGGAAGCTAAATTATGAGTTGAACTTTTTCAAAACCATTTAAGTATAGGAAACATTAATTCAAATTAATTGAATCATATCAATTAAATTTAAACCATTAGATTCAATTATTTCTTGTTTATTGAATTCAGATGTTATCTACCAATTGAACTCAATTATTTTAGGGCTTTTTTTTTTCATAATAAGGTTTTTTAAAATCTTATTTCTTATAATAGCATAGTTTTAAACTTATTTCTCATGATAAGGTACTACATGCCAAGTAAGAGTCATTTCAATCAAATATATTGACATGTCAGTTTTATTTTTTTATAAAAAGTTATATCATCATCCTAAAGTCTGGTTCTTCATCTTCTCTTTCAATTAATAGTCTCTTTTGTTTTTTCAACGAGAAGACTGTTTTCAATCTCTGTCATGGCTAGTACTGAGAAAGAATAAGTTAGAGTCTATTTTACTCCCTCAGTTTTTACTTTCGAGACAAATTGTTGGTTTTGCTTATTAATTTTTAGATATTTTTTGTTAAAATTGGCATATGCAGATACGAGATAATTTCTGTAAGTTGATGGATCCTTGTTGGATCCACCACCACCAGAAACTGTGCAAAATGTAGCATCTTTTAATGATCGATTGAAAGATAAAATTCAAAAATCGGATTTTTAGGCAAGTTTTTGGCGGCAAGCTCTCTCATTAGGGTAAAAAAATTTGGTGTAAGAGCTCTTTTGGTGATCAAAGCCTATGGATTTTTTTAGGTAATAGAATTAAGTAAGAAAAGAAGAACTAGGAATGATGGTATTCAAACTCTGAATGATAGTATGTGTTTGTTAATTTCGGCAGGGACTCTATGGACATTTTGTTATCTCCAGCTTCAAAGGTTTTGATTGAATGGTTTAAGGTTTGTTATCTAACTAGTGTTTTTAGTATTTTATTTTCTAATTCATAGAATGAAATTTAGAAGGGATTTTCCTTTCATTTGTTTATATGTAGTATGCTCATAATGTGTTCAAGAATCTTTCAATTGGATTGCATGAAACTTTTTTAGTCTATGCCATATTTTTTGGGCTTGATTTTCTATTTTGTGTTTTTCTGAAACTGTGGCTCTCACTATGTTGACGTTTTTTCTTTTCTTCCTTATCAGAAGGGGACTGTTGGAGAAAAGCTCAGTTGCACAGGATTTTCCAAATGGGAAGGTTGTATATTCATTTCTGCAGGATATTGTGCCATCATCATTTCCATACCCTGGATGGAACGAAGGTCGAATTACCTGCCAACGATCCCAGCTCAAGCGTATTCTGTCTACGACAGAATCAATTTCAGATGGGACCAAGAAAGATAAATTCATCATGTTAACTAACTCTCCTCTTTCTCGTCCTGGAACAAGAACATGAGTGATGTTGAGAGTAGCCAACACGACAAGACCAATTCTGGAACAAGAATGGGAACCAGAACAGAGCTCATGACAAGCACAGTTTACGTCCATATGTATAATCTGTTCATCAGTTTTTGGGGCCTAAAAAATCTACATCTCCCTATTTTGGTTAAAAGAGCTATATGCCAAGGATTGATCTGCTGTTGTGTTTTTTGATGTGCCCACACGTGGAAATCCACATATAATTTTTACAGAGGTCAACATGAAACAGCCACATTGCTGAAACAAATTGAAGAGTGGGACCTGATGTTACATCAGGTTCCATGGGGAGAGCTCGGATGATGAAAAGGATTGCTAGTTTTGTAGCGACAGATTAGTTTTTCACATGTAAATGAACTTCCCTTTTTCAAAAAAAATTTACAAATTGATTCATTATTTGAAGTTAAACTGCAGGTCTTAGTGTTTCATAATTAGGGCAAAGATAACAAAAGAGACGGATAATATAAGTTAATTTTTTCTTTTATATTTCTAATTTTTTAAATTATTATATTAAATATGTATTATAACACTTAATTAAAAAGATGACATGGATGCCTATATTGCAAAACTATTCTTTTTTTTATAAATAAGATTTAAATGAACTTTCCTTTTTTTGAAAAAATTTACACATTGATTCATTATTTGAAGTTAAACTGCAGGTCTTAGTGTTTCATAATTAGGGCAAAGATAACAAAAGAGAGACAGAGAGTGTAAGTTAATTTTTTCTTTTAATTTCTAATTTTTTAAATTATTATATTAAATATGTATTATAAAACTTAATTAAAAAGATGATATAGATGCGTATATTGCAAAACTATCCCTTTTTTATAAATAAGATTTAAAATACCTTATTTTGAAAAAAATAGATTAAAAAGTATCATATTTAGGGTGGAAAAGTCAATTATTTCATGGCAATTAAATTTAAGCTCGTAAGTCAATTAATTAATTTAATCATTTAATTATTAAATTCCAATCAAATCCAATTAAATTTCTTATTTATTCTTTTTATTCACTTTGACCAATTTTATTAGTCTAACAATTAATTTAATTCGTTAAACTTTAATTTAACTAAACCAAGCACACACGTTCATTTAATATTTTATAGTAAACCTATGAATATCATTCTTTTAAAAACCATAAGTGCTAAACCTAGCACTAGGGGTGTTTGTTCGATTATTCTATTATGTTTTAAAAAAAAATTTATCGATTTTTGGTTAGTTGAATTTTTCAAAAAAAAAAAAAACCAAAACCAAACCGAATTATTATTCGATGTTTCGATTCGATTTCAAAATATACCAATTTTAGCGTTCGGTAATTTGATTTTCACTTATAATTATCTCTACTTTTAATTTTTGAAAGAATCACGTACTTTTAAAAAAAAATAAGTTTAGCACTTGCATTGTAATTTATGAAACCAAAAGTCTAATTGTCTAAAGGCAAAGGATAAAAGGAAAGGCCGGTGGTGCCACTGCCACTACCTACCGGGCGATGGTTATTCGTGGCCGCCCATCGCCCATTAGGTAGTGGCTATCCGTGGCTAGTGGATCGTGGCCGCCCACTACCTACTAGGCGAGTGGTTATTTGTCGTCGTGGCTAGCCACTACCCACTTGGCGATGGCTTCGTGGTCATCCGGCATCCCCATTCAAAATCTAACATCTCGATTTCCGCATCCTTATCCATATTTCAAATAGGCTAAATTACTATTCTCTACACTTCAATAATGAAAAAGCAAGAATGCCAAGCAATAATTCAATTTCAAGTATTCAACAAAATAAAAACAACAATTCAACAATCCCAAATTACCAAGTAAAATCGGTAATTTAACAAAGTAAAAGCAATAAGCCAACAATAAGAAAGCAACAACAAAAAGCCAACAATTCAACACTAACAACTTGTCAAGTAAAATAATTCAAAAAACCTTCCACAAGAACCACAATCCATAAATAGACAAGTTCAAGCAAAAGGTTCATCAAATCACAAATCCTATAAAGAAAAGAAAAAAATATCAATTATATAAAATATAAAGACATTTATAAACAAACATGAACACACACAAAGATAATTCATTAGAAACTTACCCATCTCACTCAAAAGATCAAACCACCATCAATTCATCATATATCTATCACAAGTGCATTTGTTGGAATTTTTAATAAATCTAAAAAAAAAATCAACACTTTAATATTAATTTCGAAGGAAAAAAGACAAATGAAAATATAAGAATTGAAAAACTTACCAACTTTAAGTTTCTCAACATCTTGCAAATATTCTTCCGTAGTAACTAGCATCAAATTTTGAAGCCAATCTTAAGCACATCTTACACAATACTAAGAGTTAAAGAACTCCTAAAGGCATCGAGAACTCTTCCTTCGATGCTAAATGTTGATTCCGAAGGAACGATAAATATTGGAACGACCAACACATCACGACCCATTTGTGAAGGGATGAGAAATTGAAGAAAATTATTTTTCCACCACTCCAAAATATCAAATTTTTCATCCCTAATTTTGACAGATTAACAAAGATACTTATTCAACTTCGATCTATTATCTCCCTCTTCACTTTCATTGAATTTTTGAAATCATAACATCCTTGCAATTGTCTTGTTTTTTTTTCTTTTTGCCATCCGTTACATCACTTACACTTGAAACTTTCGTAATCCCACTATTTTGACCATTAACACTAAGACCTTGATTTATTGATAAATTGCAATATGAAGCATATAAGACATATGTAGATTCTCTCACATCATTTTTCATCTTTTCTCCAAGACAATTACCATGCAATTCATTTTATGTAAATGCAACATAAATAAGTTTATGTATTGGATCAAGTATAGCCCTAATATAAATCAACTTATTCATTTTTTTCATATCCCCCCAATATTTATCAAATTTTTCTCTTATTTTACTAGCCATTGAACAAGTATCATCATCGACGCTCTCTTGTCATTCTCTCAAATCAGCTTCAAGTGTATAAATTTCATCAAAATAATTATTAGATGTGACATATGAATGACTCGAAATAAACAAAGTAAGGTCATAGAAATTTTTCAATATTGTCACCATCTTCCTATAAGTCCTCCAATCTCTAACACTAAGTGGCCTAAATATCTCATCACTAAGATCCACATTAAGTTTAATAATATCAAAATGATCAATTTACTCATATCTCTTAAAACTCTCTCAAAATTGTAAGCTAAATCTAACATTAAATAAGGTGAATTCCATTTAGTTGAAATATCTAGATGTAATAAACTTTTGGAATCAATTTTTTCAATCTCTATGCATTTGTTAAATTTTCTCAACCTAACGGGAGATTGTCTAACATACCTCACAATTGCTCAAACACGGAGGATCGAAGGATTTGTATTTTTTAACCTATCGAAACAACAAGAATCAAAGTATGAGTCATACACCTCATATGAAGTAATTCCTCATCTAAGATGCTATGACCTCAATTGTTAAAAACATCTCTCAAGTATTTAATCACCACATCATTTGAACTTGCATTGTTTACAATAATAGTGAAAATCTTTTCAATTCTCCCATCAATCAAACACTTTTTAATAGCATTACCCAAATCGATACCCTTATAGCCATCAACCAGAAAAAAATTCAAAATTTTTTATGCAACTTCCAATCATTGTCAATAAAATAAGCTATTAAACACATATAATTAATTATTTGAATAGATGTCCATGTGTCCATAATGAGACAAACTCTTTGACAATTATTTTTCAAAAATTGCTTCAACTTTAATTTCTCGTACATGTAAAGTTGATAGCAATCTCTTAAAATGATAATTCGTGATGAAATTTTAAACCTAGATTGTGCCATCAACATAAACCATTTAAACCCCATATTCTCTATGAATTTGAAAGGAAGTTCATCCACAACAATCATGTAAGCTAAAGCTTTTCTAATGCAATTTTGATCAAACTTCCCCTTGAACACTTGAATTAGATTGAAGGTTCAATTCTATTTAGGTAGGGTTAATCATAAATATGTGTTTTTTATAAATGACCATATGCGATTTAAGTGCAATAATACCATTTCTAGTAGGATGAGCGAGTAAGTACCTTATCATAGTAATTATATCTCCCGTTGATGTCTTTATTTTCATCTTCAAACTTAGTGAAATGGTCCCATACAACCGACCTTAGCCTCATTGCTCTACTCTTCATCCTTATGTTCAATTGTATGTTTGATGGAGAGCTAAAAATTGTATTTGTTGGTTCTAGATGGGTTGAACTCGCAACTTCGGCATCGACATCCAAGGATCCTAACATCTACATAAATTCATGAATATATTTGATTAGAAATGATCAAATAATTATTAAATACAAGTCCGTAATTATTAAAACGATGGGCAATAGCCAATGCCCGAGTAAGTGCCCATCGGCTTCTACCGGCCACTAGCCAGTAGCATAAACAAAATCAATAAACCACCCTATATAGAATAAAAGCACCGATATATATTTATAACCAAAAAGGAATCACACAAGACCAAAAATCTATTACTATTTATAGAAAAGAAATCTATTACTATCAAAGTTTTCCCTTTGAAACACATCCAACTAACAAACTTTGAAGCTTCTAATTTTGTAAATCAAATCACCTTAAAACACTCATAAACCTCGAGGGCAATAACATTGTGATCAAAACCTAAAACCTACGCCACCGAGCTTTTCATCGAACATATTCTCCGCATAATTGAAAAATATTTATACTAGGCTACTAATCGTCATTATAATCGAAGAATCTAATAATAGATTGGTCATTAATATATCATTACACCGGCAAACTGAATGATATAATACAAGAACTTAACAATAGATTCCACCAATGTTTTGCAAAGTGTAGCCATACAAAAACTACAACTATAAATCCAATTAAAACTATAGAAATGAACAATTAACGGAGAAAAATAAATTGATTATAAGGAGAAACACCGAGCAAACTAAAAATCCAAGGGCAAATTAACACCAATAAGGAAGAAAAATAGTTATTTAAAGAAGAAAAACCTAACGAAACAGGGACATATGTTTATTATGGTTAGTTACAACTTACTTGAAGAGTGCAAGACTACGAGTAGCAAACTCGACGTCAATGGTGGACTTGGATAGTTAGATTCCAAACGGAACTTGTTATGCATAAATCGAGAGAGATTTTAGGTTTTAGTAATTAGGTTTCGCGTGGATGTGGTGAGTGACAGAGTAATGACTAACCGAGTGAGTGCCCGATCGCCTAAGTGGTGATCGGTGAGCCGTAAGCATGCGTGAGGAAGGGTAAAAGGAGTGAGGGGCGAGGGTTGAGGCTATAAGCGTGACTGCGTGGAGGTGATTGGGTGAGGTCCGAGGGCGTAAGGGTGAGGTCGGAAGTGAGGTAAGGGCATGAGGAGTAGTGAGGACCGAGGACCGAGGGGTGAGGGCCGACCGTCGAGGGCGTAAGGGTGAGGTAAGGGCGTAAGGACTAGAGTGAACAACGTCATTCACTAATGAATTTTAAAAAATATATATTTTTTAATAATTTCAGTTTTTTGGTTTAACTAATTTTTTTTTTAAAGATTGAAATCAAAAATCGACTATATTTTGATTCGATTTTTTCTTTTTAATTTCCGAAAAAAAACCACATCGAAATTGATATTTCGGTTTGGTTTGGTTCGGTTCGGTTCGGTTCGATGATTTGGTTTTTATCGAATAGTAAACACCTCTACCTAGCATATATTTTTAAGATCAAAACATGTCTTAAAAGGAAAGAAAAGGTCTTCTCACTCACTTCTAATTATTAAGTACACACATTAGCAAGTTGGATACTCTTCGACAACGATCGAAATACTCTATCATTTAGAACCTTTATCACCTACACCACAAGAACTAAAAGTGAGCTAATGCCTAGGAAGTATAGTCTAATCTATGCATATAAATATCACTATAACAAAATATAAGATTAGTGATCGTCTTTTTAAACCAAGAATTCACAACGACTGCGTAGACTCTCGTGAATTTCATTACAATTTTGGGATTTTAACAACTTCATGATCATTTTCCAAATCATACTAAAAAACATGCAAATTTAGTGACTCGTTTTGAAAATCCCCTCGTGAAAGTAGTTGATTTAGCGACAATCTGCAAAAACCATGGTTAAAGAGTAACATATTTAGTGACGAGTATGGTCGGACCATCGCAAATCCCATCTTTTTTTGGTTATTCGATGACTATTTCCTAAAACTATCACTAAATAACCCTTTTGGGTGAATTCAGCAATGGTTTTAATAGACCATCGCTAAATTCTTCAAATAACTCCAACGGATACTTTTGGAGAATTTAGTGACTATCTTATTAAATCGTCATAGATCCAACCCATTTTTGAGTTATTTAGCAATGGTTTTGAAAAAACCATCGCTAAGCAAATTGTATTGGGGCGAAACGAGCGAATATTTGACGAGTGGAGAAGGAGAAGATGCACTCACAACGGATGGAGATGGCATCATCACGTTTCCTCGGCTAAGAAAGTTAAAGCTTTATAGGTCCAAATCAAATCTCAACTTTTTTGGTTCAAACAATTTTGCTATTGAATTGCCTTCTTTGCAACATCTACAAATTGAGGGCCACAACCAATTTGGTTATTTGTTTGCAAAGCTACTCGGTGCGTTCTTTAATCTTTCTCCACTATTATTTTTTCTTTTATGACTATAATTTAAATCTTTAATTTCAACTCAACATCGGTACATTATGGTAATAACCCTTTTGGCCTTTTAGGTTATTTAGCAATTGTTTCCCAAAACCATCGCTAAATAACCTTTTTAGGCGAATTTAGCAATGGTTTCAATAGAACGTTGCTAAATTCTTTAAAAAACTCCAATAGATACTTTTGAAGATTTTAGCAACGATCTTCTTAAATCCTCACAAATCCAAACCCATTTTTAAGTTATTTAGCTACGATTTCAAAAAAACCATCGCTAAACAAATCATATTTAGGCGAAATGAGCAATGGTTTTAACAGATCGTCGCTAAATTTCCTAAAAGTATTATTCCCCAAAAATTTCTAACGGATACTTTTGGAGAATTTAGCGACGGTATACCAAAATCGTCACTAAAAACTACTCAAATTTTTGTGGGAATTTAGCGATGGTTTTAAAAGATCCTCACTAAATTTCCCCAAATATTAAGGGGTTTGTAGCGATGGTTTAGAGAAATTCGTTGCTATAATTCCTAAAAAATGAGGGGTTTTCGAGTGACGGATAACCTATTTTTGGGTGATTTTATTAAGTTATTTATATGTTAAAATAAGTGAATTAGTTGTTAAAAAAAACTTAATTAGGTGTTGAATTTATTTATTTAGGTGTAATTTTATATATAGTTCATACTTATATGAAATCATTTGTTATATTATTGATCATCAAGGTTATTATTGAAGTATTTATATAGTTATACTTGAAATGTGAAAAAATTTAAAGTGTTTGGTTACTGAAATTAGGATGACATCCCGTGGATATGATGTCGCTGGAGAAATAACTAAGAAAGTATAATATCGGTGTCAATGCTTTGCGATGAAGATGGGAGGACGGAAATAATTAATTTGGTGTTAACTATATTTTCCGTTAATTGGAAAATGTCTAGTTTATAGGGAAAACTCTATCGAAATTTTGTTAGAATTTTAATTAGTTGTAACAAACATTTTTATGATATTTAATGCATGATTTTTAAATAATAATAACTAGTTATTTTGTTTTTTGTTCGAATTTGCAGACAAAATTAATTATGAATTTAGATCGTTCATAGATCGACTATAGATATACCAATGGTCTTTTAAATCGGTGTTTTGTTGAAGGGGTAAATGAATTTATTGGCTTTGTTGTTTGTCATCCTTGAGTGTATGGACAAAAATAAGATAAGATGTTCTTATAAACTCAAAAAGTGTCGGAATCATAGTTATGAAGATCTAATAAAGTGAAGTATCATTTGATGAGATATGATTTTGTTCCGGATATTATGTGTGGAGACGTTATAGAGAAAATGAGTCGGTGGTTTATAGTGATAACTCGAGAAATTTTGTTGAAGCTAAACAAATCTTTGATGAACTTTCGGCAAATCCATAACATGAACATATAATGCTGACCTTACCTAATTTGAAATTGTTCCCGAAATCACGTCTTGAAAATACTACTTGTGGGAGAAGGGGATTTTTCTCTTGCTGCATCTTTAGGCAAAGCCTTTGGCTCTGCTGCCAATATGGTTGCAAGTTGCAACTTCTCTGGACTCAAAAGGTACATATAACAGTCAGATGCGCTAGCTATATTCCTGCAATATTACAAGTTAATGTAGAGGCCAACTGAATTCTTTTTATATGTTATTTAACTTAATCTTAAATGTGCCATTGCTTTGAAATTGTTGGATACGCATCTGATTTGTAATGTTTTGACCATTCAAATAAAAGGCCCTGGTGGCCAAGTATTCCAGAGCAGCTGAAGAACTTTGGATGCACAATTCTGTATGAAGTAGATGCACATACAATGAGCTGCCATCCTCTTCTCCATGAGCAGTTGTTTGACAGGATAGTCTTCAACTTTCCTCATGCGGGTTTCCATTACCGTGAATATGACAGCTTCCAAATTGAGTAAGCAAGCTAGCTTACATTTTTAGCTTGTCCCCATTGGTAGTTGTCCCTAGCAATGCCTATCATTATGATGGAAAAAGCTACCAAATACTTGCGGGTGCTTGATATTGTGTACATAAGTACCTAACTTTTTGGATATCCAATACTCACGAAAGTTGATAGCGCATTAGTGTCATTAATGATGCATTTATACAACTTTCAGGTTTCACCGAAATTTGGTGAAAGGCTTCCTGAGGAGTGCACGTGATGATATGCTGGGGAAGAATAGAGAAGCTCACGTGACCCACAAGACTGCTCATCCATTTGATAGGTGGGAGATTGAGAAACTAGCTGAGGATGTTGGTTGGTACTTGATTGAAATGTCCCCGTTCTCTTCATGGGACTACCTAGGATGCTGTAACAAGAGAGGGGATGGGATCAGGGTGGATGATAGTTTTCCTGTTGGAGCTTGCAGCACTTGAAAATTTAGGAGAGCCTTAAGTTCTTGACAGTACTCTTGTCCTGTTTTCTGGTTTCATTGGTTAGGTACTCCCAAATCAGCAGGTTTTACCCATTAAATGTCCTATATATAAACGTTCCAGGTACAGAATCACATCAAAAACCTCAAATTTGTTGGCAAACATCAATAATTTTTACCAATTTTTAGAAGAGAATGCCAATTAAATGTCCTATATATAAACGTTCCAAGTACAAAATCAAACTAGGAAGATAGGTGGACAAGCATTGCATGCATGAATTATAAATGGGGCCAGAAAACTAGGCGACGTTATTCAAACCATATACCCTGTAAGGTGTAAAAACCTTTTAATATAAGAACTCATGCACAAATTAATTACTTTTATGGATCACAAATAGATCAATAATATTCATGCAAGGGTGAGAACAGGTGTTTGATCATATCTCTTAATTAGTACTTGGCACATATTCATACTATATAGAAGAGGGAAGTTAATTAAAATGGATAGTTTAGAAAGAGAAATGCAAACACTTAGTATAGACAACAACAAAGAAGACAAATGTACAAAGCATTATCATCGCAGAACTCATAAAATACTTCTAGTGGGAGAAGGTTCTTTTTCTTTTGCTGCTTGCTTGGGTAAATCCTTTGGTTCTGCTACTAACATGGTTGCCACTTCTCTCTATTCTGAAGGTAATATATTTACTAGTGATTAAGAAAAATATACTTGTCTACATATATCCTATTAGAGTAATGCTAATTTTACCGAAATATTCTTCCCGAATCAGTTTTTGTTCTCATTGTATTGCTGCTATAATGTGTCATCCATTTCTCTCTTTTTTCTTCTTCTTTTAGGCTTTCTATAGAACCCTCTTTGCTAACTCCTTCTACTTTCCCTTCTATCCTAACAATTTCCATTTGGCTCTGTTGTGATATCTCCAATTTGCTCTCTGCACCAGCCATATTTTCCAATTGCCTCTCTGTACTAACCGTTTCCAATTGGTTTTCTGAGCCAGCAATTTTCAATTGGTTATCTATCTGTACCAACCATTTCCATCTGGCCTTCTTTACCTCTGAAATGGTTAACCTTTCCACGGAATAAAAGAGATTAGAGGGCTGAGGCCACCTATCCTCACCGCTGGACGCAGGATATATATATATATATCCTGATTACTGAGGTCTCCTTGTTTTCTGCCCCAGTAAACCTGGCTTTTCAACTTTCATCAAGGTTCATGCATTGGGGAATTTGGACCATTCATTGGATTTGCCACTTTATTCCAAAATTTAGTAGTCTCCTTGTTTACTGAGTTTGTTTTGCATTATCATTTTGGGTATAAATCCAAGAAGAAAGTCATGTCATTCAGAGTTGATTTCAGAAGTAATTGCTCAATATCAAGTAATATTCCTGGCAAATTTGAAAGTACAGCAGTTTCAAGCAGAAAAAGTTTGATCAGCTCTTGGCCCAGAACCCCTTTTATTATTGAATCCTGGATAATCAGCTTTCTCGAACCTTAATTTTCTTCATTCCAGGCCTGTTTAACTAGCTTAATCCGGAGACTACAGTTGCAATTTCCTCTTGAAGACTCCTGAGGGACCAAATACAAAATACATTATAATGTGGAAGCCAAATGTCCATTCATAGGCGAACCAGTGCTCCATTTCCCACTCTGCAGCACATCGCTCGTCCTAAAACCTGTCACACCATATGCCTCTTCAGGTCAAGCTTAGGCACGACCAATTTTAGCATCCATAAAAGAGCTATTTGGGAATAACAAGCTTTCAGAATTTTAGTCACAGGTAAAGCTTAGGCTCGACCAACCAAAAGAGTTTTGTTCGAAAGTAATATAAATATAAAACTATTTACTAAGATTCACTCAATGGCTTAAACTTTTGGATTGAAATAGTTCTTTGATATAATATCAAAGTTTAAATGATCAAATAATAACGGATTCAAATATCACCACCTCCTTTTTTCCTCCATTTGTTCTTCTAATTAAACAATTAAGCACAAAACATGTACAAATTTCAAGTCTAAAAAGCTTATACTTGAGAGGTTGTGGTAAAGAATGACATAAAACTATTTCTGATGCCCACTCAATAGCTTTTACTATTGAAAGAGTGTGTTAAAAAATAATTACCATTTCTGATGCGTCAACCAATAACTTAAGCTTTTGGATTGAAATGGTTCTTTGGCATTTTCATCAAATAAAAACCTCCTAACAAGTGTTTTGAGTTGCTTGATTGACAGCACTAAATTCCTGAAACCAATCCCTCCACTGCAGTTTGCTGAACAAAGCTTTTCCCAAGCTACACAGGGCATTCTATTATCTTCTCTTTATCGCCCCCAGAAGTGGGTTGGACCCATGTCTATCTATCTCAGAACAAAGACTTTGTGCATTAACTTGTTCTACGTAGAGTCAGTAGTAATGATGTATGTTTAATGGTCAGTTCCAATATACAGTTGCACAATTTTATTTTATTTTATTTCCCACTGGCAGCTTCTCTGCACCTATATTTTATCTTTTACAACTTAGAAAAAGAAAGGTTACAACGAGGTAAATTCCACAAGTATTTTACTTGAGAGGATATAATCACACTAAGGAAAACATCTGGAGTTCGTTTCGAAAAGTGATTGCTCAACGTCAAGGACTAGTACTCTTGCCAAATTTGAAGGTACAGGAGTTTCCAGCAGGAAAATTTTCATCAGCTCTAGACCCGGCGCCTCTTTTATTTTCGTATCCTGGATAATCAGATTTTCTGAACCTAACTTTATCAACCAAGAACAGACCAGCTCCCTCTGCTAACTTCTCAATTCCCCACTTGCTATATGGATCTGTAGTCTTGTGGGTCACATGAACTTCTCCATTCTCTTCCAGCATGTCAAATGCACTCTCAAAGAAGCCCTTTACCAACCTTCGATGACTCCTAAAGGCAGAATTGACATCACTTTTACTAATTAAAACTCAAATAACTTGCCAATTTGCATTTAATCTAAAGACACTTCTGGAGTTTGATTCTCGACCTTCTATGCGAAAACAAAGAGAAAAATCTCAAATGATCAACTAAGGCAAAGCATAAGTTCTAGCTGAACATACTTAATTTGGCGAATGTTTCCTTCACTCCTTTTGAGAGCTGTATGAGGAAAATTGTAGACTATCCTGTCAAACAATTTCCGATTGAGAAGAGGATGCTTGTTCATGGAATGTGCATTTACTTCATGAATAATCGTGCATCCAAACTCCTCCAGATCTCTTAAATTTGATGCAGCTCCCCAATACTTAAGCATCATCATCTCTTAGTTTTGTTTATCACAGGATCAATTAGAATGCATCAACATATAATGTATATAGAGTGAGAAAAGTGAAATATAATTACCTTCAGAGTATAGAGAAGTGGCAACAATGTTAGTAGCAGAACCAAAGGCTTCAGCCAAGCAACAAGCAAAAGAAAAATCACCTTCTCCTACTAGAAGGATCTTATGACTGCTGCTATAATGCTTTATCCATTTCTCTTCCTTGTGATTATCTATACTAAGCATTTCCATTTGGCTCTCCAAACTATCCATTTCTTTTCCTTCTTTTTTTTTTTTACCCTGTTGGAAGAGGCCAGTTCTATATGTGCCTGTAGTAACCTCTTCTTCTAGAATGAATATATAATCAAGAGACCTGATCAGGCACCTCTTCTCACCCTCAATCAATTCATAGAGGGTTATTTATGAGTTTTAATGTTGCCTAGTTTTTGGCCCAATAGAATGCATGCTTCATGTCCCCGAGGTCCATGCATGGTGGCATCTTATTAGACCGTTTCTTAAACTTGGTGGTGAAGCATGAACCAGGAAAATGAAGCTTCTTGTAAATCACATCAATGATGCCAAAAACAAATTTAAGGACATTTTTGACATGACCATACATTTTGCATCATCCAGGCATCACAGGAACATGTGTGACTCCTGGAAATGTTAATATTGTGCACTTGTTTGGCTTCTCTTGAAGAAACTAAAATAATTTTGTGGACATAAATAAAAAAAAAAAAAAAAAAGAATCAGGCCTTGTAACTTCTGCTTGTGTGGACAGGATATGCAAGAGTTTTTTTTTTTCCTCCCTCCGTCTCTCTCTCTCTCTCTCTCTCTCTCTCTCTCTCTCTCGTAAGATATGATATCATCCATGCATGAAAGAAGACTGTTGATTTATTTTTTCTCAGAAGACATCAGTTAAAATATTCATGGAGACTCCAAGAGTCAAGAACTTACGATGCATTTGATGATCTTTTTTCATACAACAAGTAGTCAAGGCCTCCCAAATTTTGTATAAAAAAAAGTAGGGCAAGCTCCAATAGGAAAACTACAGTCCACAGCAATCCCATATCCTCTCTTATTATTGAATCCTCGATGCTCCAGTGTAAAGGACCTTTCCTTCTCAATCAAGTACAGTCCAGCATACCATGCCAGAGGCTCAATCTCCCACTTACTATATGAATTAGCAATCTTGTGGGTCACATGAGTTTCTCCATTCTTCGTCAGCATAAATATGCACTCTTCAGGAAGCCACACACTAACTGTTGTTGCCGCCCGAAAAATATAGAAACGCTATCAGTACTTCCAATATATAGGATACATATGACTGTCCATCGTCTTTGATTGCTATTTAGTCCTTAACAGGATCGGAGAAGTGGACTTAGTTCTGTACAAATTCATCAGCATAAAAAACTGATTCTCCAATTGCCGAACAGGATAATTGGTGTAGCAAGCTAAGCTTACTGAATTTGGGACATGTCGCGATCACCCCACATATTGAAGATTATCCTGTCAAAGAATTTGTAAAGCAGAAAGGGGTGGTGGCTCATATTCTTTGCATCTACTCCATGGAGGATTTTGCATCCAAGGTCCTCCAGCTTTTTCAAGTTTTCTGCAGCTCTTGAATGATCGAGACTCTTTTACTTGCATGATCAAAACATTTCAATCAGAATGCATATCCAACAATTTCAGAGCAATACATAAAGATTTCAAATCAAGTCAACTTATAAGTACACACAAAGAATTAATGAAGCTCCAAATCAACTTGGAAAATTGCAAGAAAAAAGCTGGTGCACCTAATTGACTGTTATAGCTTTCAAGTCTGGGGAAGTCGCAACCATCTTGACAGCAGTGCCAAAGGCTGTACCTAAGCATGCAGCCAAAAATAAAATTAAAAAAAATCCCCTTCTCCCACTAACTAAGAGTATTTAATTATTGCTGCTACAATGTCTTACCCATATTTCTCTTCATCTTCTACTTTATAACTAACCCTTTCTATTTCCCCTTCTGTGCTAACTATTCTCAGTTGACAATGTTATGACTGGCCCCTGCATCTGCACCAACTATTACAAATTGGCTCACTATATTCACCATTTCTAATTGGTTGTTTATACCAAACATTTAAGCCTGGCCTTCTTTCCCTTTGAAAATGGTTAACCTACCCACAAAGTAAGTTATTAGAGATTAAGAGGGCTGAGGCACCTCTGTGTGTATATGTATATACACACACATGTATATGTATGTATATGTATATGTATATATATGTATCTATGTATATGTATATGTATGTATATATAAGTTGTTCAACTCTAATCAAGGTTGATATATGTAGGACTCGTAAATAGATCGGATCTTAATTCGAATTCGATCTGAATTTGTTGTAGTTAAATAAATCCGATAAAAAAAATTATCCGAATCCATTAATTTGTTTATTAAATGGATAAAATCCGAATATATTTTGATCTAATATGATAATAATCTGATCTAAAATTAAAAATATAAATATAAGAAAAGATATATAAATATGAAATTAATTAGAAATTTATAGTTTATTTATTATGGTGATTGTATTTTCAAAAATCAGATATAAATTTTTTGTTATTTTCTTTATTCAATTTCATGAAAAAGTATATAAATTAACTTATATACCTTTTCAAAAGTTGATGTTCTTTTATTTGTCGTCACCTTATTTTTGCTACCACGTGGACAAAAAATAAAAATTATTGATTAATTATTTCTTTAGTTTTATTATACTTCCTACTTAATTCAAAACAAACTTTTATTAAGATTATTTAATTTTGTGTTTTTGAATTGTGTGACATCTTGAAACTTTTTACAAAATTAATAAATGAAATATTATCTTAATATATTTTATTATACATGCGAGTGGTTGAAATATTTTATATTCAAACAATATATTAAATGTTGTAAGTATAAATTTAAAAAAAAACGAAGTGATAAAATCCGACTATACTTTGAATCGGTTAGAATTTAAATTCAAAATCACATTTTTAAAATTCGATATGAATTCATAAAATTTAATCAAAACTCGTTGCATTAAATAAATCAAATCTGGATCTACTATAATCTAATTTGAATCCGACTCATTGACAATCCTGCATGCATGATAGATTATAGGAACATTTATTGTTTGGACAATTAATATTTGTCATGTTCTTTCCGAATTTAGCAGCAAGGCATTAAGCATGTGTAGAATTCTAATTGATTTGGTGCATCTAGATTTACTCAAATTAAAGACGTTACAATCAAATCAAATTTATTGTACCCCTACTTGCTTTGACTCATTGTCAAGTGCTAATTCTTGATAATTATGCCACATTATTCTTTTGATTGTGTTCTATATACAGCCAAAATAGAATGATCTAAGAACAAAAAGGAATTACCAATGATGATATCATCAATACTTAGGCCTCATTATTTTTTGGGCTAAATTTGCTTAAGGTAAGACTTCCAAACTTATATGCCATGTATATATCATCATAAAGTTTCCAATCCTTTTGTGTGTGTTGACACATAAATTTCTGAAATTTTATACTCATAATAAATTTAGAAAGTAAAGTTAATAAGGTAAATATGGCAAATTAGTAATTAAGAATAATAATCTTAGTGTATTTGATATTCACGATGTAAGTGATGAATTGGTCAACGGTTTTGCTTAAAGTCACATTGAGAGTTCTAGATTAGATTTTGAAATCATCATAAACAATTCTGATCAGTCTTAAGAGTATGAATTTATTTCACCGTCTGGGAGAAAAATAACATTTTTACCTTAACATAATGATAAATAATCATAGTCAAAAGAGAGAGATAGAGAGAAGAATTTCAAATTATAGAAACTCCTTCTATATCATCATTTTGGATTTGAATCAAAGATGAAATTGTGAAATATATATATATATACACTTAAGATTTAATCAATAAAAAAGATTTAATCTCGACTTATAAAAACTGCTCCGAAAATATCCAACTATATATGCACACACAGTTGCCATGACCTAAGTCAAAATCTTAAGCAAGCTTGGCAAATTCCAGAAGCCCTATTGCTCAACCACTCAAAACCCATCAAAATCTAATGCGATTCAAAAGGGGTGGTGGAAACATAAAAGGAAACAAAGTTCCGACGTTGAAAGAGGAAGACAGAAGTAGTGACTAACTTGAGCCGTTGATGTTAGTTGTTACTACAACAACTACCATGCAAACGGATGCATTCTATTAAAAGAAATCCATTAACAGAGACACAAGTGGGTCCCACTGAATCATTATTATGCAATGCAACACTCATCCAACTCTTCTAATCCCCAACACCCCCACGCAGCCAAAAAGTAAATTTCCCTCTCTCTCATTTCTTCTCTCTCTCACATTCTCTTCTTGGCTTCTTGCAACCTCAGCAAGACCTCATCTTTGCTTTCTCCACTTTAATAAAAAAACTCACTTTTGAAACTTTTTGAAACTCATTTCTCTTTTTCACGAGCTGTCTCTGCACTTGGTAGAAAAAAGTTAGGGTTTCTCTTGTCTTTCTTCACCACCAAAGCCAATAGATCATAATCTTCTCGTACATATCTCTCTCCTTTAAAGAAACTCATTTTACTGTTTCTTGCAATAACCCCATCTTTGAGGTCTTTTTTTTTAAGTTTCAGCCCTCTAGCATGTGAACCCCCCACCAAACCTAACTGTTCCCAGTTGCTGTTTCTTCTGCTTCTGGCTAAAGTTTCAATCTTTCTTGTTATTTGCTGCGTTTTTGGGATCTAATTGGTTTTTATGACACCCTAATACGGTTACTGGTAGTTTCTTTATCTTTTGGGTCTTTTTTTTTCTCCCTTTTTTCCTATTTTCAGTTTTAAGAGAGAGGACACAGATAAAGACATTATTGTCAAAGAAAAAAAAAGGGAGAATAATTTGGGTTATTCTTGCTTTTTTGAAAACGTACATGTGAAGCAAAATTTAGCGTTGAACGTGATCGATTTTACTGTTTTTTTCATGAGGGTCTTTCTCTTTTTCAACTCTCACTACTAAAATTGGAACCTTCGTTATACTTGTTTCTCTTCGCAACCTCAAGGAACCTGTGAAATTTCCAGGATCAAGGTTGCTTTTTGGTAGATCAAGCCTCTCTTATGGATAGCATTCATTTTTTTAGCTTCGCATTATGTGAGATATGGAGGATTTTGGGTAATATCGATGGATAGATGGATAGAGTGTAATATATGAAGATCTATATGCTTATTTAAGTTGTGGGTTGTGTTTATTTATGTGTTTGTGGAGTTGGTTATATAGTTGCTAATTTGCTAATGGAGGATATTGGGCTGGTTAAGCAAGGGTGGAAATGGTTGCAAACGCAGAAACATGCCTATTCGCGGGTGAAAACTGCAGTGGGGTGTTTGAGGGACAAGATTGGAGTGTGTATAGAGAGGCATTGGCCCATGGTGTGCAGTGGATGTGCAAGATTTGGGAGGTTGATGCTTTTCATGTTGATTTATTGGAAAGATTGTGTTATGAGGGGTTTTAATTCGGTTATCAAACTAGGCTCGGCAGCTTTGCTTCTTATAATGTGGAGTTGCTTTCTCAGTCTCACTTCAATGTCTTGCTTGCTTTATGTACTAATTTGTATGGTATGTTTTCTTATTCCTAGCCTTTTAAATTTCTCTTGTTGTTTGCTCCGGATGCTTATTCTGATCGTGTTGTTATCATTTCTCTTTTTTCCTTATTTTTGTAATCTGATCTTTTTGAATCTGCATTTCCGATTAGCAATGTTTTGGTTGCATGAATGGGGTTCATACTTATATTTTGGTATGTGCTAGCTGTGAGTAATCTTAGATAGTCTAATAATTAGCTTCTGAAATATAATTAAACCTCTAAGTCAGGTGGAGGGTGATTAAAATCGATCATAACAATGTGGATTTGTGTTTTTGTACAATGCAAAGTTATTTACTCTGGGCTCTGATGATACCAATCATGGAACTAGTTTGTCAACAAATATGGTACAAGCTCCCGTGGGTTTTTCATGAAACCAAATTAAAATTAATGATCTGGATCCTGAAAGGCTAAGAACCTGACCATGAATCCAACATGCTAGCCCAAGCTTCAATTTGGCGTGCAACTCCAGCAATGCAGTAATCCACAACTCTTGTACGGACTGAAATTCACCAGAAGAAGAAACAGAGTATAGAAGAAAATGTTTTAGTGTAAACTCAGATCTCAAGACTTGGTTAAATCAAATTGAAGACTTAGAGGGGTGTTTGTGCTAGTAATTGAGAATAACAAGCAATAAATCAAAAATTGTAGTTACAGATAAATCCAGACTAGTAAGAACTTTGATCTCCTTTTCAGGAAGTCCAAAATCCTTAGAAATTCTAGACATTAAATTCAACAAATAGTGAGAAATTATAATCCAAACTGAAGAGTTATCAGAAACTTATATTCATAGGTTTAGTACCTGAAGCTCCTGATGTCATTTAGTTCTAAATTAGCCCCCAATCCATTCGTTCTCTTAGGGGAGAAAATAGTAGAGCTTAATGCTGTGGTGATGTGTTTATGTTTGCAACCTTCTTATTGGTCCCCTTTCAGCTGCTACCACATTTATTTCTATGTTAGCGTACTTTTTTTTCTTGAGGGTAAGATGATAAGAGTTTAATGTTGTGATTGTGTATTTTATGTTTGCAACCTTATTACTTGACTGCTTTCAGCCTTTTGATGGCTTCCATGCATTTGCAATTTTTGACCATTAGCATTTGGGTTCTTTATTGATAACTGTGGATATGATACTTAGTATAGATTATAATGAAAATATCAATAAAAAGTTGTTTGGAGGTGATGGGTTTTCTAGAAACAACACAGCCTATAGATACATTGGCTTTTTCAGGGATTATTCTTCAAGTGAATTGAAATTTCATTAGTATGCCACTGACAGTGGGTTCAATATTTCAGGGAGCTGCAGGAGCTGCTGTTCGGTATTTGGGCTACACTCCTGGACTTTTTATTGTAGGACTATTTGCTATTTTAATTTTATGGATGTATGCTAACTTTTGGATAACTGGAACATTATTTATAGTTGGTGGTAAGTTGAGTTCCTAGTGCAAGTAGATGATTTTTTATTTATTTTTTTCAACTTCTATTCGTCTGTACAACTTTTGGGGAATTTAATTCTCGGCATTATGAAAATGCAGGCTATTTGTTCTCTCTAAATCATGCACGGCTAGTTGTCTTAATGGCGACTATATATGCTATTTATTGCGTGAAAGTTCGAGTTGGATGGCATGGTGTTTTCCTATCAATAAACCTCACCTTTTTCTCAAATGACGTATTAAACTTTCTGCTTCAGTGGTGTGATAATGTCAGTGAAAGCACCCAATTTGAAGAGCATAAGGAATCTGAAACAGTTCTGGAAGATGAGTTCTCTGCAGAATGTGAATTCTCAATTCCTGTTGATGAATCTGAAAAGGTTCAACCATGCAAATCATCCAGCAAACCAGCTGCTAGCTCATCTGTTGTGAATAACCAAAAAGAGTCTTCTGCTGGAAAAGTAATTGTAGAAGAAACAAGCTCAGCTGATGAGATGCAAAGAATATTAGTTAGTGTAGATCATTATGGAGCACTGGGATTTCCTCGCCACAAGCGAATTGATGTTACACTTTTGAAAAAGGAATACCATAAAAAGGTAAGTGCCTCTTTTGTTCTAAACTTAAACACTAATAACTTTTTTAATTGATTTGTTCTAGTGTTCTCATTTCTGACAGGCCAAAGTGTTTGGATAAATTGATCTGACTTGGTCATTACTTAAAAATTTAGCATCTTTTTATAGATTGTTTTGTGTAGCTAAATGAGATATCCTAACTGTCCACCAGGTATCCAAAATGCTCACAGTAAACAAGAAGAACCCAAATACCAGAAAATTTACTACCAAATGACCCTAGGAATGTAGCACACAAACCATTACATTCAGCTTGGCAGTGAAAGGGCTGGCTAGGGTAACTGACATAGAACAATGTTGGGGGCAATGCAGTAATCCGCCATTTTTATATCTTAATATTTGACAGACTTCATGCCAGACAACTGGGCATCTATCCCTTGATTGCAACTGCTTGTTGATTTTGCCTAGAATGTGTTGATGGCTGGTTATAATGCCAATGAGTTATTTAAGCAAGATGAATTGCTATGCAGGGGTGGAGCTGCCTTATGCCCTGCCCAAGCTTGGAGAAAGTCTTAAATCATCCTGTTATTTCATAAGTACCGCTACATTTGCAACCATCTCACCTTAACCGCACCAAAAAAATAAATAGTATATTCCTTTTCAACTCCCTCTTATATTGTTTTCATGCTGGCCCTCCTATTTCTAAAATCCTAGTTCCTGCCCTGATCCTTTAAGTCTTGGAGTGGTGTCAAGTTATTGTTGATATATAGGTCTATTATGTTGTGTGAATGTAACATCTCCCCCTTGCCACGGAAAGGAAAACAAAACAAAGAAATGTTGGGTTGGGGGGAGGAATGAGGAATGAGGAAGTGGGTTTACTGATTTCCTTTTATCCTGTTAAATATGCAGGCCAGGCTTGTCCATCCTGATAAAAATATGGGAAGCCCTTTAGCAAGTGAATCATTTAAGAAACTTCAATGTGCTTATGAGGTAAGCATCTTCACTGAAAATGTCTCTCGTAGAGTAAGTAATGAGAGATAAAACATATGAAGCTAAGAATGTGTTGGTTTGTGTCCTTTTGGCTGACCAAAATTACAACGAACAGGTTCTGTCTGATTCTGTGAAGAAGAGGGACTATGATGAGCAGTTGAGAAAGGAAGAATCTAGGACTAGAAGTGTATGTCAGAGGTCCCATAGTACTTCAAATCAGGTGATTTATGTGTATCGCTTGTCAATGTATTTTTCAGCCTCATAGTCAATATTTGGAATTTTTTGTTTTCTAATTGTCATTGGTGTGAAATTCATGAGAAAAAAGGAAAATGAATGAAACATCAATATGTGGAGACTGACTGTTCCCCATGTGAAATCTTTTTCCCACTTTAACATTTCATTGATGCATCTTTGTCCTGTGAAATGAGTTGTGAATACTGTCTTTTGATGTCTTGGGAGTCATTTCTTGGTGCAATGGCTTTTCATTAACTTGACACTATTGCTTCTTGAGAGCAATCACTTCTTTCAAAATGCTAAATGTCAGGTTTTCCAGATTTTCATCCCTGGACAACACTTCAATGGAACCAGAACAGGATAATAATATGGTTTTTTTGTTTGAGAAAGCATAATTTAGGGCAACCCATTGCAGACATGAAATATTATTTACAGGGGATTTTTATGCTTCACTTGTTATTTTTTTAGATTGTTTGTTTATGAGGTAGAATGGAGATCATGTTACGAATTTTATGAACTTTAGGATCATGTGAATCATTAGTAGTAAAATGGCAATGCAAATTGTGAGGTTGGTCAAAGAAGCAAAAGGTGTCTTTAATCTTGTAAACCTGCCTCCCAAGTCCAAGTCTATATGCTATGTATGGCAGATATGTGAAGTTACATGCTGAATTTTGAACTAATTCATATATTTCTGAGTTAAATCACTGATAATAACTGATATCATTGATCGCAACATTTTCTAAGCTTATTACTGTTGTAAGCAGGATAATCCAGATTACTGCTCTGAGGAGTCTAGGCGGATCCAGTGCACCAAGTGTGGCAATTCACATATATGGGTGTGTACTAATAGGTCTAAGGCCAAAGCAAGATGGTGCCAGGTTAGTCTTCTGATTCTCTCTCTCCAATTCCTTCTTTCTAAAATTATAAATTATAAGTAATTTTTTGCTTCAGGATTGCTGCCAATATCATCAAGCCAAGGATGGAGATGGATGGGTTGAATATAAAGGCTCATTGGTCTTTGATAGGCCTCATAAGGTACATTCCTTTGTGATTACTCTTATTGTTTCATCTATGTTTCAGTAAATATGTCTGGTAATTCTGCAGATTCATGTGAGGTTATCTTGTGAATCTTTTTTTATGGTGATTTGACATCTGTCAACTGTTCATTATGCTAAGCATGTTTAATTTCCTGTCTTTTAGATGGAGATTCCACGTGCATTTGTTTGTGCTGAGAGCAAAATCTTTGATGTGTCAGAATGGGCCATTTGTCAGGTCTGTATTTCTTTTTAATATTTTTGCAAATTTTGTTTCTTTTTTTGATGTGCCATTTTAACCTTGTTGTGAAGGGGGAAAAAAATGAAATATCAAGTTTCATGACTACAAAATCAGCTGTCGTAGTGATAACAGTGGTCCTGTACTGTGAAATTTACAATTCCAAGCTAATTAGCCAATGCTGAACTTGTGGCTTTTTCAGACATTAATTGGAATGCAGGACAAGTGTAGCGGAAGTTGTAGATGGTTGTTTCAGTGTTATGGTTGCAGAATTTAGTGATATAAGGACTTGGATGAAATAAAAGAAAGCTGCAGAGAAAACTACTAGAGCATCATTCCTTGAATAAAACCTTAACATTCTTTCCAAGGGTTTAAAGAATCACTCCTTAAAGAAAGCATCACTTTTTCAACCAATTAATTAAAGGGCTGCACTTTATTCATGATATATTTTCATAGTGAAATTGAAATAATACAAGCATATTACTAATCATAGACTAGGAGGCCTAAATTAATAAATATATATTCTGATTTTGAAATGGAAAGAAAAACCTAAATCAGAAATCTAAATCTCTCAATTAGAATAATTTGTATTCCTTAAATAGCTAGAAAGTATTTCTCTTTGTGTGAAATTTGCTGAAATTACAAACTGCCCTTGCGTAAATCCTAGACTTCATCAAATAGCCTTGATAAAAACAAGCTGTTGAATCTAAATTCTAGGTTAATGTATATTTTGAGATACCTAATTTTAATTTCTCTGATATGCTCTCTGAAAAATAAAAAGAAAGTGATTAACATAGCAAAAATCAGGGCCCTTGCTGCTCTTTCCATTTTGTTAGGTTCACATTTGGGAGATTCTCAAATTAGAAGATCCTATGATCCAGCACAAAGTAACTTTCCTCGTTGGCATATTTCAAACCATTTTTCTCACTGTTGACTTGAGGTTATCATTATTTCCTCCCATCATCAATGGAAGTGACTGATGACTGGATCTTTCAGTTCCTCATGGCAGTCTTGCATCATTGGTGCCTATAACTCGAATATTGACTGAAACATTTATAAGCATATTATCAGTGACTGTCTTAGTATTTTAAGTCGTAAAAACTCTTTACAGGGAATGCAATGTAGGCCCAACACCCACAGGCCGAGCTTCCATGTAAATATGGTTGGCTTGGAGAAGACACAACGGTCAAACTCGAGCAGATATCCATGGGATTTGGATGCTGAAATGATGGATGAGGATGAAGAATTCGAATTGTGGCTTCAGCAGGCTGTGGCTTCTGGCCTTTTTTGTGAGACCTCCAAACGTAGAAAGAGTTGGAGTCCTTTTAAGTTGCCACAAAAGAAAGGGAAGAAGCAATGGCGAAGGACATCAACTTAAAAGAATTCCCATCGCAAGCAAAACTGGAACTGTGTTTCCTTTGTTGTGGGGTGATTGGTTTGGATCTAGATCGCCTGTTTCACCAAAGGAACGTGCTTTGGTGATTCGAGCAAAACCAAATTTGAGGAATTGAGCTGAATGTTCGAGTCCAAACAAAGAAAACACATGGGTTTTACCTTAGTTTTTGGGTAATTTTCAAGCATGTAACTGGCAGTTACCCTCCTTGCAGCATTTGACTTGTCATAGGTTCTGTCAATTTCAGACCCCCCAAAAAAGCAAGAAACCCCCTCCCCCAAGTAAGAAAAAAATGAATATGCATTTTGCACAAGCAGCACATAATGTTAGCCTTGGTGCATTAGCTTTCAATCTTTTGTACATATTATTTTTCTTTTCAATAAATATCTCATTTACTCGAGGTGCTGTCTGATTGCTGTTGGTAAAAATTACAACTTACGCAATGTTGACAAGGCTTCGAAGGAGGGGAAAGACAGAATTGGAAGAGTAGAAAAGTCTTGATCGAAGAAGATCCTTGTCTGTGTCTGTTTCTTGAAAGAATGAGAATGATCTACAAAAGACCGATGTCTCTTACGTTATTCAACAAATTCTCTTTTCACCCATTTAACTTTTAACAGACGTTTAGGACCGGAAACAGAGAACTCATTTGGAACTTGAAATGTTATGAACTTTTAATAATTTCCTCCTTGGATTTCTCTTTTCTTTCTTGACTTTTTGTTTAATAAATCTCATTGAACCGGACGTCGGAAACAAATGTGTAACGTGTGCGAGTGAGGGGGAGTGAATGCGGGGAGAGAGGGGAAGAGAATCATTGTGTTCTTTCTTCACATCACTGCAATTTGTCCATTTACAAGAGGATAGCAAAACTGTATATTTGTGTATATAAGGGATGGTTGCAGAATTTACAAGCCTAAAAGAAAAAAATAAAAAATAGAATAAAATAAATGTAATGGAATTATTTCTCACATTGATGTTTAAGTGCTCCGATCATGCAGTGCAGTGAAACCTGTCGTAGTTGCTCTCGACGAGTTTTCCGATGACAAGATTGAAGTGTCCTGGTTGTCCGATCCAGAAGATGCATTAAAGGATGTTGTAGCAAATGCCAGGGTCTTGGAGGGGGTCGTACTTTGAGGTCCATGAAATCAGAAATCAGGCCTGGCTTTGTTATCTTACTCTCATCAACATCCTTCCGGCCGGTAAGCATTTTGACTATAGTAGACATGGAAGGCCGGAGCTTTGGATTATCTTGGGTGCAGAGTAGACCGATTTTTAGATACCTAGAAGCCTCCTCGGCATCAAAATCACCGTTTAACGATGTATCTACAAGGGCAACCAGCTCCCTTCGCTCATAAAGATCCCAAGTCTGCAAAAGTAGAACCAAAGCATCAAGTCAACTTGTGCCCCCAAGTGCAAGGTAATCCTGATTGTTGATTATTTAGGTAGATGTCGGATACCAAGAAAAATGATTGAAGAAAAAGCACCATCAGAAATTCATAGCTCACTCCATTTAATAAAACCAATGCAATTGACGTTTCGATTACAATTTTCAAACATAGTAGCAAGGACTCGAAAAATTCATACCCGTTCCAAGAGGTATTGTTCTTCAATCGGTAATCGTGTATTTGTGTTATTTCTCCCGCTAACAATTTCAATAAGGAGGACACCGAAACTATAGAGATCTGCTTTCCGTGTCAACTGCCCCCTTATTGCATACTCTGGTGCCAGGTAACCTCTAAAGCACCAAACAGAGAAGAAAGTTAAGCAGGTAAGCTTATAAAGATAATCCATAAATAAGACTAGACACTTAACATAAGCCTGAGCAGTCATAAATACAGATCCTATGTTCATAAAAGGGCAGCGTATAGGAAATCTAATCAAGAAATACAACAACTGGATTTCGGTTCAGCAAAGATTTTCAGAAAAAAAGACTTAAACATTGTGAAAAGGCAAATGTGATGGCTCCATTTATGTTAAAGGAGTATCTGTTAATCACTCCATATACTTTGTTTGCGCAGCATAGCTACATTATAGATCCCATAATAAGTTGAAAATGATTTATTCAATTCGAAATGTGTAATAAAACAAGGAAACTTACAGTGTTCCAGCTACACGGGTGCTGACATGAGTCTGGTTGTCTGGTATAAGCTTAGCCAGACCAAAATCTGAAATTTTTGCTGTTAGGTCTTTGTCAAGCAGAATATTGCTTGCTTTGATATCTCTATGAACGATGTATGGTTTGACTTCCTCGTGAAGGAAGGCAAGCCCTCTTGCTACCCCAATGGATATCCTAGTCCGTGTTCTCCAACTAAACTGGATATTACTGCGAATGTGACCTCCACCTGAAAGTGAAAAGATACTTTGAGCACCCAAATGCCAGTTGATTCATGGAATAAAGGAGCTTTGCGTAAATCGTATGGATTCGTATGCATATGCATATATGTTTTCCGATACCGAGATTATCAGTGTAGCGAAAAGCAGATAATTAAATTCTGAGGAAAATTTCAGTAACCACAAACGTAAATTTTGTTCCTGAAATTTTAAATTCGAAAAGGCAGAACCATTTTTTTCCGTGCCGTAAACTACCAAATACAGCTTCATTAAAAACATCAGTATTTCAAATGAAGAAGAAGATACTCAAGAATTACCAAGAAGAGTTTGCGCAAGGCTGTTGTTCTCAATATAGCTGTAAACTAAAATCCTGTGATCTCCTTCCACACAACAGCCATATAGCTTAACCAAATTTTCATGATCTATCTCTGACATTGCTTTAATCTCTGCTAAGAACTCTTTCACCCCTTGTCTCGACTCAGCCGAAAGAACTTTTATAGCAGCCATCTTGCCATGTTTAAGCCGTCCCTGAACATCCACAATCATTTCTTAAGTACCATTCACAACTAAAAAAGACACAAAAGTACGATATAAACTACTTCAACATCATTAGTCATGAATTCTAATAACAATCATACAGTTACCTTGTACACGGAACCAAAACCACCCTCCCCAATTTTGTTGGCAGTGCTAAAATCTTCGGTGGCATTTCTTAATTCCTTGTAGGAGTAGCATTTAACATTGTGAATGCCTCCAAGTTCTGTTCAGAGATAAAACTAAATAAGAACCTTCATACTGACAGGAACACAAAGATGTGTAGTAACAAGAAAACTTCATTTCATACATATGGCGGTTATGACCGGGTTGAAGCAAGTCTCTCTACAGGCTTTGCCTGACAAGATAAATATAAACGTGTCGATGTATGAACAAACACACACAATTTCATTAGTAGTCTACCTTCATTATCTACACCAAATTGTCTTGAAGAATCTATCCGTCGACCAAATAAGAAAGAAAAACAAGGCATATCTGTTTGTTCCTCCAGTGAACAGCCCTTCTATATCAGCCTTCAAATGCTTGAGATAAACAACTTCCAAAACCAATAAACCTGAATCATCAGAAACACAATTAACCTATTAAACACGATCTAGAGACTGAGCAAGCTTTGGAAAAGATTTTGCCGTGTTTATCAATCGTTGGACATATTTAAAAGCCCTTACACTCAACAAATTCATAAGAGCATAACAAACTAGACTAGCGAGGAGAAGTTCAATAACAGCCAGCTATGACCCATATATAGCATCCAATCGAGACAAAATTGAAAAACCATGTCACATCCCATAAACAATCAAAATAGGAATTCTGACATAAATAAAGGAAAAGTAAGTGAGAAATGACTATAAATAAATTATCAATCCTAGACTCCCAATCAAACCCCAAATGCTAGTAACTGAAAAATTAGCAGCCAACAATCATATGCTTAGATACAGACTATTAAAGATTAAAGAAGGAAAAAGGGCGCTACATAAATCAAGTGCAGATGGATCCTATGATTTAATTACAGCTAATGTTTTGAGTGTCCTTTATCTATCAATTTCCACAAGAACTGATTTCTTCCGATCCTTTCTTTTTTCTCTAACAATTATGATTATTTCCCCTGCCCATCTCATAAATAGTTAGACGGAACATCAATCGAACATTTTTGGTGCTAATCATGACTCACCTTTCGATTTGAAATGAAGAAAAATAACAGAAATTAATGGTAGAAACATCAAAATAACGAAGAAATCTAAAACTGTGTAGTTGAGTTAATTGGAAATGTTGAGAAGACCATGAAGAATTGACTCAAAATCCATACAAAAAGAAAGAAATATCAGCAAACTGAAGCATATTTAGAAACCCCCAAAAACAAGAAACTAAAATATTTTAACCGAAAGAAACAACAGAATGAAAACAAGAAATTAAATCAAAACGATGGAAAAAAAAAAAAAAACTATAAACAAGAACCAAAGAGAAACTCACCTGAAGGACAGAAAAAAGCTCAAGAAAGAACCAGACAGAAAATGATTACTCCAGAGAGACAGATGTCTTGAGCTGTTAGAGAGAGAAGAACTTAGCAAATTAATAGTAAAACCACTAATTTGAGATTTCTTGGGAGTTGAAGTCCATGAAAGTAAACGCACGCTCTTGGAATTCAGTCTTTCAATAAAAAACGAGAGGGGCCAAGGCTGACTTGACTTCTATGAAAATCAAAAAACAAAAAAGGACAGTGTTGCTTTGGTGTCCTTTCTTGGAACCCTACAAAACAAAGAAAGAAACGCAGGTACGTCCCATGGTGGCGCGTAAATTAAGGTCAATTACCATTTTAAACTCTTCTTCACTTTCTGACCACCTTTGTTTCTTACAGTTAGTTAATCTTGACGTTCGAAAAACTCATTGAATAGTCAGATAGTCAGCTAGTTAATTAGGCTACGTCATGACTGAGTCAGTCAGCTACTTATGTATTGAAGCTACGTGCATTGGATCCTCTCAACACCAACCAGTAATTACCACCATTTTCTTTATACTCAACGCGTTGCCTGGTTGTTTAGCAAAGCCAAACGCTTTTTACAGTGATGTGATTCGTAGCTGTAGTCAGGGTCCTGGCTGACCACCTGTAATGGTGGATAGAGGTCGGTTTCCTCTTCTTTTTTCCTACTCCAACGGTAAAGTTATCCAAGAGTCACCCGAACCAAGTTTTCTTCTCAAATTGACTATCAATTTTCAGGTTATAGTTTTACCCTATGTTTGGATATTTCCTCTTGAAAGGAAAAGGAAGAGAGGAAAGAAAGTGAGAGGAAAGAAAGTGACTGAGATTAATGTAATTACGAGTTATATTCGCGATAATAAAATGATAATCATGAATTTTATTTCGTAGATTCACACTATAAAATATTAAGATAAAAATAAATACTTACTGTATGATTAGTTAATAAAATAATATCTAAAGTTTAAATAATTTAAAAATTACAACCTCATAAAAAAATAATGATAGGTACAGATTAGTTTCTTGTTCTTTTTCCTACTACAATGGTAAATTTATCTTTGAGTCGCCTGAATCAAATTTCCTCCTCAGATTATCATTAATATTACAATTAAAGTTTAAAATTAAGGACGAGACTCGTAAAATCGAGTATGATTATGAATCTCAATCGCGATGATAAAATAATGATCGTGAATTTTTTTATATAAATTTATATTATAAAACGATAAGATAAAAACGAATAATTACTTTACGATTAATCAATAAAAATAACATTTAAAGTTTAAATAATTCAAAAATTACAACCTCGTAAAAAATAACTTTCGAACGTCATTTATAAATCTTTACTTTTAATATTTCAATAGAATTTAAAACATTTTCATGCTAATAACTATCAATTATCAAAGGGACTAGAAATTGCTTTCAATCCAAAATCATCTTAAATTACAAGATCAAAGAATGAATATTTCTTCTTGTCACGTACTGCTCATGAGTACCCATAAATCATTATCATCTCATAAAATATTCTCTCCTTTTGTTTGTTCAAACTCCAAACATTCTCTTGCCAGCTACATGTCTTTTTCCAATTGAAATTTGAGAGGTCTATTGAGCGATCATGGAGGTGTTGAAAATTAAGAAAAGCAGTGGTAAATTTCCCCATTAATGGAAGAGAGAGAATTGAATTAATTACCATGATTGGCCTAAGCTAGTCTAATCAGAGAAAATTTGTCAAAAGTAGGTGATGCATCACATGGATCACATCTGGTTTAGACAACATGACCTAGTCACGAACAAGCTTGGTTTCCTAGGTTGTTGATCGACAAAATGATTCTATTAATGACCCAATAAATGGAGTATTGATGCATGAAAACAAGAAGGAAAAAAATACATATATTTTAAGTAATCAAATCATGCAACATTTGTTCCACCCAAATAATTTATCTATTCTTTTGACACGTTTATGGGGTGGAAGGAACAAATGGTAATTACAATTCTTCTTTTTTTAAAAATGTAAGAAATTGAAGACTTTTATTTGGTTTGATTGCTGTTTTAATCCTTTCGGGTTGACAAGGAACAAATGGTCAAGGGTTTTTTGTTGTCCTACTCTCAATATGCCAATTGCCACCTTTTGGAAGGCCAGAGGAGGTCAAGTTGGACAAAACGAAGTCGTACGTAAAAGCTTTGAGTTCACATTACAAGTTGTGGTCAAGAAAAGCATTCGAAGATGATGCATCATCTTGGGGCCTTAACTGTTATGGTTGATTAACAATTCCAACCAAGAATGCTATTAAAATGAGACTAGGAGGCCTCATGGAAACCTTTATCATCTTCAATGTGAAAAGGGTTTTGTTTACGCTAGTGTCAATCTCTTGACCCAATAGGCACACTTTTTTAGAACCATTTCCTTTATTATTCTTTCCACAAAAAGTAAGGTTTCATGGCCTATGCATTAATTAAAGATGTTCATCTCTAACAATAAATTAATCAACCGGCGGAAATTTGATTTCTTTTTAGAACTATATTCAGAAATTCGAATCATGTAATAATAGCCGGTGAAAAAGATTAAATTTTATCGTTTATTTTCTAAACATAATTAATCCTATTTTTAATATAAAATAAAGATATTTTGATAAAAAAAATGTTCATATCTCCATACTAGTTCAAGTAATAAAGAAAAAACTCGATTAAATTTGATTTCTTTACTGGTTTTTTGAAAAAAGCATATCTATGATCGATTAATTTTATTTCTAGAGATATTTAAAATTTCGGCTACGATATAAATACAATGAAGATCTTTTTAAATACACATGGATGTAAAAATCACAATATTTTGTTATCTTTGATATATATATATATATATATATATATATATATATATATATATATATATAATTTAAGAAAATTAAAAGTATATTAAACAAATTCTCCAAGTCAAATGGACATGCACGGTTGGTATTATATTAGAGTTGAAAATATTCACGGTTGTATATAGTAATAGTACATATCCAACATAAGAAAAGCCTGCAGATTCCCTTTTAAAAAAGAAATTATTTGTATCATGACAAAGTTAATTCGGTTTTTAATTAGGTCAATTCTGCTCTGCCACAATTTTTTTGGTATCCATATATATATATTCCTCCATATAGTTTTTTCAAAATATTCCACTTTAACCATTTATCCTTTAATTTGGTAAGTATTACAACCTCAAATCAATCATTAACTTTTCAATAACTTGAAGATGAGGTTTGCCACTTTTTTTTTTAATTTTTTTTCTTTTTGGTGTTGTAGCCTATAGTCAAGTTACATTTCCGGCCCTAAACCCTTTTTTTTTAAAAAAAAAAAAAAGTTTTTAGTTTCCATAAACAAATCATGAATGTGGCAATTTGCAAGGATTTTAATTTGATATTTTTATTTGATTTGAACTTTCTCTGAACAACATGTACCAACATCGCTAATACATGTACGTAAAAGTCCAATTTATAAAGCAGCTTTCCTGATTATCATTTAAAGTTGTAGGTTAAAA